GGGGGTGCACCTATTATAACCCGCCCTCTGCTGGCAAAACTGGGCCTTGGTTAGAAAACAGAAGGTGGACATGTTCAGAACTAGACTCTCCAGACGGCGGCGATAACTGGGTGTGATTCTTGACGCCAGGGGGGAAAACACTTGAGGACAGCTGGAGGGTTTGATAGAGGACTTGATACCTAGTGACCCTATCTCTGGACGAGATGTTTTCATAACTCGGAGGTTTGTGAGAGAATCTCAAGACGGGAATATCATGTCGGGTATGACTTTCGTGCATGACAAGGCGCGACTGTTATCAAAATGGTGGCGATATGAAAGTCGGACAAATACAACGTAGGAAAAAAACCAACAACCAACAACTAAGCCCAAGCGTTGTGTAAGTTTGGGAACAATATGAGACTGCCTCAGGTTCTGGGTGAGTGTGCCAGGTGTTTTTTTCCTTGGGGAATTTTTCTCTAAACAGTTCAGTCTGGTCCTCACTCAAAAACTTTCCTTTGAAATGTTTCCTAATTCATTTTCTTCGTCTTATTTTGATTTGGAGAACTAGGCTACTGTTTATACATATAAAAATAGATCCAATATAGTTACACTTTAAGGTCACGTTCTGTTACGTCCTGTACCAAAACTGTATTGTGTTACCATCCGTGCCAAATTCAAGATACGAAGTTACCTTTTAAAAAAAACCCCAGCAACAACTACAAAAAAAGCCCTCCTGGGATACGCAGATAATACAGCCCTGCTTACAAGCACGAGTGAAAACCTTCCTCTAACATTGTGAAAGTTGCACAAGAGAACAGAAGCAAGGTAGGCCTCGTCATGAACGCCAAGAAAACAAAAACAACGGACAAATCAAGATCTGGTGGAAAAGCAAGACATAACCATAGATAGGGAGAGAATGGAACAAGTGTATCTCTTCAAATATCTAAGGGATAAATCACAGACGACGGCAGAAGTGACCCCCCAAAAAAACAACAACAACAACAAAACAACAACATAAGAACAGCAAATGCAAGAACAAGATTCAGCCAGATGCACAAACTGTTTCCATCCACGAAATTATCTCTACATTTTAAGAAACAAAATGCTGGAATGCTACATCTTCCCTATATTTCTATATGGCGCTGAGACTTGGACTTTACAACAACAACAACAAAAGAAGAAAACAAAACAGCAGCGTTTGCGATGTGCTGCTACTATCTAGCTGGAAAACAAAACAGCGGCGTTTGCGATGTGCTGCTACTATCTAGCTGGAAAACAAAACAGCGGCGTTTGCGATGTGCTGCTGCTGCAGAATGCCCAGATCTAGCTGGAAAGCAAAACAATCGAAATGTTGGGCCTAGTACTTTTTACAGTTGGCCGACGACACTACTCTCAGATCGTCTGTTAGTTTTAGTTTTAGTAAAGTGTCTTACGTTACATGCACTTGCAACACAATAAAGTCATATAAGTGCCGAAGATTAGCGGTGTTGTAAGAGAGTAACAAACACGAAGAAGAAGGAGGGGAGATAAAGACGATAGATGTTTAATAGGAAAGAAAAAGCAAGCCACAGCAGAGCACCCGCCAATCACCCACAATCGTCTGTTAAGACACGAGAGGTCATAGAACGTCCTTCACCTTGAACCTGGTGCCCGCGTCGTTGAAGGCCTGTCGGAGAGCGGCCTTGCCCTTGGTGACGTCACCGATCTGTAGACTGACAGTGAGGAAGTCGCTGACGTGTTGACCTATCTGTCTGTGAGCCGCGGCCTCTGAGATGTCGGGGTGAAGGTCATACTTGACCACCGTGGCTGGCATCTTGCCCGAGGCGAACTGGGCGTGGCAGGCGCCGGCGATGTTGAGGACTGGAGTACGGTACAGGGAGGCGGGGGCCGTGGAGATGTCTTTGAGCAGTTCTCTGTGGTGGGAGGAGGGGGGGAGGACCTACTTAGTGTGGGAACACCCTGACCTACTTAGTGTGAGAACACCGTGACCTACTTAGTGTGAGAACACCGTGACCTACTTAGTATGAGAACATCGTGACCTACTTACTGTGAGAGCACAGTGACCTACTTACTGTGAGAACACCGTGACCTACTTACTGTGAGAACACCGTGACCTACTTACTGTGAGAACACCGTGACCTACTTACCTTCAGCTGTCCTTGGAGGTCCGCGGCCAGTACTTTCTGTGCCCGGATTGACCAAGGGGAGAACTCTCCGGCCTTGTCTAGGGCCTTGACCGACAGCAGGGGCTGGGAACAGACGACAACAATGTACTGTAGGGGTTCAACGTTTTTCTTCTCGAAATAAATGTGTTTTAGTAAGTGTTTTACGGCTCTTGCCACACAAGGTCATAGAAGTGCCGAAGATTAGAGGTGTTACAAGAGAGTAACATACACAATAAGGTCATAGAAGTGCCGAAGATTAGAGGTGTTACAA